TATATACTCTATGAAAAACTATATTATTTACTATTTAATTTATTTTGAATAGATTTTTTTTCACATATCTTTATGTAGAATAATACAAGCTCATGTCTCTTGTCATCATTCATATGAAAAAATTTTTCTTTTCGTTCTGTCACATGTGAACATATATATCATCGCAGCTGAAGAAACGAAAAAAAATATATATAGGGACAATAAAAAAGTCATTCTTGCAGAGAATAGTATTTTAAAAATTTTTGCTTGAAATTACATCATACTCCGAGCTTATATTTTAGAGTAATACTCAGTTTTTTTGCGCTCTTTCCAAGGATACCACTCTCGTGAATTAGACTTTTAATCGATTTTTTTCGATCAGTTGATAGGAACCCCGAGATTAGCTACTACAAAGCCATTCTCTTTAAATAGCGTCCATAAACTGGATTGTCAATCTGATTCCTGAATGACAATGTAGAAATGGAACAACCCAGTATTGTATTTTTCTTTCATTCGAAAAGATTTAATGTCGCTAAAAATAAAATACAACACAATTTCGAATAGGGGTGGCACGTTACCTTTACTTTATCAGTCAATGGATGAAAAAAAATAGTTACTTATTTACTAGTAAATAGTAAATAAGAGATTTATTTATTTATTTATGAGTAAATAGTAAATATATATTTACTTATTTACTTGTAAAGGGTAAATATACATTTACTTAAATAAAAGTAAATATCATATTAATTTTGTTTGAATTATCTAATAAGTATTGAAGTTAGTATAACAACTATTAGTATGAATTTATTTCCATAGTAGCTATAATTGAACAAAGAAAAAATTGAAAAAAAGTAGCGAAAAAACATAGATTTTTGTACTTGTCAATTGAGAGTTTCTTCATTATGCCCAAATTATTTTTGCAACAAATAAATGTAAGGCCGTAGACAAATATATAGGAAGATAGAGAATTTTAAGCGCTATCAGAATATATAACTACTTTTTTAAAAAGGTATTTCTATAGTATCAGAAAAAAATTTAAAAAACTAATTATGATGAGAGTGACAAAATCCGATCCGTGAGAATTTGATTATGAGGATGTTTTCATTGCAGTCGATTTATTTTCTAATATATAAGTGCAAACTAAAACATAAATATACAGGGTGATAAAAATCTCCGAGCACTTTCAGAATATATAATTAATTTGTTAAAAATATGTTTTTACATTGATCATATACACAAACGATTCACTGTAACTATTTTTTCCAAGGGTATATATATGTCATCTAATCCAACTGTAAAAGATCAGCAAAAAAAATATGGTTCAATGAGTCTTTGAATTGTTCATGGTTACTAGGGTGTCTAAAGAGTTCCACTGGGAAATGACCTAATGCTAAGAAAATCAAACTTCACCGCAGTATAAATATTAATATTTTCCGAAACCAAGATTCAAATTTTTTCTAGTCATTTAATATTCACTTCATGCTTTAAATCATACATTTTAGAAATCAAGCTTACAACTTTAACTCCAAAATTTTCGACGAGAGTGAATCGTCAACATCGCAAGAAATGCCAACGGAAAAATTACATGAGCAAAATATGGGTACCATGGAGAAGCTGTAAGTTTGCCTAAGCTTTTTTCACCAACATTACAACTAATATGCTAATTGGCTGCTGAACACAAGGAAAGATTTCCAAGTGTGAACTCTCTGTTCGGTGGGCACTATAGTCACTTAACCAGTCATAGCCAGTTTTGTAATACTGTAAATTCTATTGAATGTCAGAGCCTTTAAAATTAAGTTATGAACGTTATTTTAATCACGTCTCGACCTGTTTTAAAGCTTTTCTGAATAGAACTGGATGTTATATTTTCAGTCTGAACTTTTGTACACAGACAGATCTCATAGTTAGCAGGTTTTGCCGCAAAATTCAGTTGGAACGAATGCTTCCTCAAAACATTGGTTTTGCGAGCAGATCAAATGTTTCAAAATGTTTTTTTTTTATAAAATGCGAACTCTTCAAGAACTTACTATCTCGAGATGGAAAGATACGTTTTAACGGTAACATTTAGGACATTTAATAACAATGAAACCTAATTATGTGCCAATTTTCAGATAAAAAACAATTTACTTGCTTTTCCGAAATGCCCTAGAACAGTTCAAGAAGCGAGTGAAATAACCCTCATAGCTCAGTCTCAAAGGTGCGCACATTCAATCCAAGTTAGGGAATTACATTACTCGCTATGAACGATAAAATGATTATAGTCACAGTCGGAAAGTTATTTTCCACTCTAAGACCTTACCTCGTCAGCTCGATGTTAACACTGCATTCGCTTTCTATTATCCAGAAATGAATGATGCACCTTTTCTGTGTTTGTATTTCAGAAAAATGCATACTCAACGAATCTTATTGGGTATTGGAATGCTCGTTAGTCTAGTGTTGCTTGTGATTTTCATCGTGATCCTACTTTTATTGGTCTTTCCATTTCTTAAAAGTTTTAATACAAACACTATGACGGACTACAGTACAGGTTTGTCAACTCTCATTTTTAGCTCAACAGTAGATCATGCTATTTGTTGAGCCATTATTGTGAAGATTCAGAAATAGTATAAGAGGAAAGGAATAATAGGAAATTCAGTTTTCCAACAATAGAAATGTATAGTGAAGGAATTCTGATCAGAAAAATATATCAGGAGTCTTTTGCAAGAAGATTGCATTCAGGTTAATTAAACGCATTGAGCTTATTTCAAGGGAATTTTGATTATTTCAAATCTGTTTTTTCATTTTATCGTTCAGAAATAGTCGGTTATAAAGAAAAACGTTAGCTTTCATCCAAATTACGATAATCATCATCTTTTAATAGTACATCGGACGGACAACATTTCTTATTTATGAAATTGCACCTTATTCATCATTCGATTTTTTCAGTTCTCGATAAAGTTTTGAAAGCAACTGAGTCGAAATCAACCAATGTCATAAATATATTTTTCCGTTGTCTGTATTAAAAATGACGATTCTCGCCATCTGAAATTTCTTATGTCTGATGAAGACCATTTAAGCAGTTTTTAAGCACCGGTAAAGCCATGTGTTGTAAGGCCTCCAAGTCAGCAATTACTTCTTTATTCTACATATCTCTTTCATTTAGGATTGAATGAATGAAGACTTAGAGGATAAGCATATTACTTTTTTCGGCCGTCCTAATGATGTTTCACCTAGCTTAGAGCTGTAGTTGTCTATGAGAGAGTTCATCTTTACAATATATTTAACATCATTTTGTATAGATTATTTCAATGAGAAAGATATTATAATACCCACTACGTAATCTAAATCGTTTGAAATTTACAGACTCCATAGAAATTGAAGTTCTAATTACTTCCAGACCAAAATATTACTGATTTGAACTTAAATCAGAAAAGATTAAGACATTTTTGGAATTTTTTTTCATGAAAATACGGTGAAATTTAGCCAATTTCTAGTATGTGTGGTAGTCGTCAGTTTTCTAAGGATCGAATCAAAAGTTCAATTATATTTTCTGATAGTGGAAAAAAACGTAATTTTATTTCATGAATGATCGATAACTATTTTGAATTATATGGCAAGAATCTGTTCTGGCATAGTTTAAATGATATATATGATTGGAACACTAAAACTAACTCTTATAATATAAACCCTCATTTGAATCATTGAGTGTATTGATATAGTACATTTTGTACAGAAAATGTTGCTTTTTTATATAGTTTATCTAGGTTGTCACTCTTGCTCAATTGTTACTAATCATTTGCTTTCTCTGAATCTTCGAATATTTTGTACCATGCCATTAAGTCTTACGGTCATTCCTCCGAAACAGCTCAATCATATAGACTTGCAACATCGAAATCATATAGATTAAGATAAATAGAACACCTTTCGAGTAGGTCTAAAATTGCTATGATGTATCTTTCATTCAGCTTATTGATTATCAACCATGGAAATGAACTCCTATGGGAGGATCGGCAGATAATAAAAATCTTCTGACTTGCGACTTAATTCATCAATTATCTCCGTCGGTCTTCCGTCTTAATTCATGATCAGTTTATCATTTTTTTTGTCTATGACAACAGTTGTTCACAGAAATTGAATGACACTATTGTAACCTGGAATTTTGTTCACAAAGATTTGCTGGTGATTGTAGTGTATAAAAAGTTGCAACAAATGCAATTCTTTTGTGTTCACAATATTTGGCTGTCAAAAGAGCTGAATTTTCTGGATAGCCTGTTAACAGTTTTCAGAAATAATGCGAAGAGATCACTTAGCAAGGTTGATACCTTCGCTGCATTATAACTCTGAACAAGCACCGTTCCACTCTTGTCTGATTGACTGATTAGAACTATATTATCCTAGGTAATCAAAATATAAGTACAGTGAACAACTATTTCAAAATATCACAACTTTCTATTGACTCCTTTATGAGATATATCAGATGTGGTTAGATCTATCAAACTATTGTAAAATTTCCTTCTCGGACTGTTTCTATAGGGTATTAAAACGTGAAACAATACTACTTCCAAACACGCTGATATAGATTCTGCAAGCGTTCATCAATTGTTTTTTCGAAGATTTAAGCGCGAGTGTAGGTTTAATTTACGAATGTTCTGCCTATTGCACGATATACGAAAATTCATATTCAAAGATTAAGAAAATTGTCAACGTTAAGATGTACGTTGAATCGAACGCTGTTTTCAAATGTTTTGAGAATAGTGGTGGAAACGCTAGTGCTCATATTGTTCTTTGCTATTTATACTACAGTAGTATAGTAAAAGATATAACTCACGTTTGATGAACTCCTTACGTGAAAACAATCATTTTGCAACGAGATTCCTGTGAACAAGGTCAGAGAATAATAAGAATGAGAAAATATGATTTTTGCAGTTGGGAAGATCTATAAACTTAGCAACAGAAAACCGATAGTCAACTGATTTTCTTTTAACGCTGCCTTATTGGTACATGAAGACATATTCTCTTAAGTTGAAAGTGCCGAGTTGCTTTTCGATGACTATTGTCAGATCAATCTATTTCTTGCACTAGAAACTTGTTAGAAGTTCTCATAAGAAGCATAACTGAGAAGAGTCCATGGGACGACAATAATTCAACACATATGCACAGTCTAGTGATATGCGAAGTGAGAAGTCGATTTTAAGCTTTATTCTAGTCGTGTATGCCATCAAACCGTATTCGAAGCGATCGTGACAGGCAATGGAAAGTTTGCTGGAAAAATGTAAGACTCTATTGCACTCGAATAGATAAATAATGAAAGATCATGCGTTTTTGATAGATAGAGCATGTTACGTAGTTTACAAGGATATGCTTAGTAGACTTGCTTTATAAGCTAGTAGCAACAGCAATTCAGGTTTTCGTAAACTTTTAAAGAGCAGTCTATAAACATTTTTTTAGAATCAAAAATGCCGTATGGATGTGGAGCGTTTCCTTTGTTCTTCTCCCTTCACGTCCACACCCAAAAAAAAATTTTTATTCGTTTTGCAAAGAACACTGAGGGTGGCTTCGACGAATGCTTGATCAGAATCACAATATGTGATTTGGAAGACCTATCATAACAGTTTCTTGAGATCTCTTGATAAGTTATACATTATCGAATCGAGTGGATTTGATGTTTGATATTTCATCAAGCCCAACATCCATAGAGTTGGTTGGTTTTAATGCATATCGCTCGATAAACTAGAATCAGATCAAAAATTGAGTTGAGATTATTCAAATTTTGCGTTCAGAAAGACAGCTAAATGCAATCATGAAGGTTTTGCTGGAATGAGTAATGACCGAGAGCTTCTTATGCGCGAAGTTTCAATTGGTGAACTTTTATTAATCAAAAGAAATAAACCTGAGAAATTTGTCAAAAAGTGCTCATTTGAAGTTCTAATAAGATGCTTATCACATCGCTGTGATAAATGTTTTCAAAATTATTTTCTGTCACTAGTGAAATATATATTTGAATGAAAGTCAAAATAAGCAATGAACAATATGTGCAATGATCGAAATATAGTTTTCAGAGAAAGTGCCTAGAACTAGATAATTTTTCACTTGAGTTTTCCGTATTAAGTGGATATTTCAACAGCACTGCTGTTTTTTTGGACGTAGATTGTGTGAGTTTTTATCAATCTCTTGCTCCGATAATATCTGAGACAGTTAATCCAATCTGACGCTATTGGTTGAGCAACTTCGATTGTGGATTAAGTGGTGCGACTCATATGTACGAGAATCTGCCACTTTTGCTATGGTAATTGTCCTATCTTTTCTTTGTTGTGTATTTTTAGATTTTGTATTTCACACGACAACTTAAAAAGCATTAGTAACTAAGTAATATATGGAATTAACATTCGGAACATCAGTAACATCCAGAGGTACTAGTTTCTAGATAAAAGATGGATGAAAATTATCATATGGATAGCTTTTAAACTACTAAGTAGTCACCGGGCAACTTTCGGGGATGAGAAAGATAGAGTGCTACTCCTCAACAAAAAAAATTTAGAAAAGTGTTGTTCCCATATATCGATGAACTTGCTCAAGTCGTTAAATTGGCATATTTTTTTTACAATAGAATGCAAAAAAACTATTCTTACATTTGTCAAAATCAAAATTAAGAACTGAGCAATATGAACAATTGAATGGATCAAATTTTTTCTTAGCATGTTACATTTAATACTGAACATTGTCTATCATCAGTACCATAAGAAATTGAGCAAGAAAATAGCATCATAGTTGTCATCATCTGTAACTGTAGTTGATGTTCAGAAGCGAATAGAGTGAGAATCTTAAAGTTGATTAAACTCTCGTAAGAAAGCATTGTCCTGTAGAAATGACCCTTAGCGCATACTATTTAGAATTATAATGACAGAGTGTTGAAAGTATTTGCCTTCTACTCAACATTATTTGATGTTCGTAAATAAAGTATTTTTATATGTCGATTATCTTCGAGCAGATTTTTCAGATGGTGATCGAGTTCTTTTGTAAAAATACCTTAAGAAACGACAGCCCATTTCGATCATTCATTTTATATTGTAGAATCAGACGAAATGATACTAAGCTTCTACTCAAATTGGATGCCATACAAGAATCAGCATACGACAGTCATCAATACTGATAAGATTGCTAAAAAAGTAATTGTTTTTCAATTTGTTATCACGTATGTCTAAGTTAATTAAATCGAACGAACTTCTAGTTAGAAGCAGCTTATGGTATTAAATCAGGCTCGATCCGCATCCGAACTATTGTGATCAATAATGGTAAAACAAATATTAATGATCGTCGCCATAAACTTTACGGGAAAAATCATGAATTGTGCGTTTACATTTTGCGTGTTTTTTTAAAATAATGTCTCTTTTTCAACGTCTGTGTAATTCTGTTTCAGACCTAGATGTGATCAGTTGGGATCTATTGGCTCAATTGTAGAAATAGCAATGAATATAATCTATCCGGCAAGGTGTGGCATATCTCGGTCTTGTAAAAAAGAATTTGCCAATGTTATCCAAGCTCGTATTGCTGCACATATTTCAAGTATTTTACTGAAATTCAAATTTGCTGACGGAAGCTACAGTAAACTTGAGTTGACCAGATGTCAGAAAGCCACTGATTCATCATTAAACTCTTTATTACGGTTACGGCGCGCTCCTGCAACCACTACAGCAAAAGCCACTACAGCAAAAGCCACTACAACAAAAGCCACTACAGCAAAAGCCA